AAAAGCCTTTGCATAGTCAGTGAAGCACAGATAGACATTCTCCTGGTATTCTCTGCTTTCTGCCAAGATCCATCTAACATTAGCTATAATATCCCTAGTACCACGACCTCTTCTAAATCCAGCCTGTACATCTGGCATATTGTCCAAACATTTTTGGATAATTTTCAGCAGAATCTTGCTTGCATGTGATGTTAATGATATTGTTCGATAATATTCACACTCTGTTGGGTCACCTTTCTTTGGAATGGAAACACATATCTATCTTTTCCAGTCAGTGGGCCAGCTGGCTGTTCTCCAGATTTCTTGGCACAACTTAGTGAGCACATTCAGGGCAGTGTCTGTCTGTTGAAATATGTCAGTTGGTATGCCATCAACTCCCGGAACCTTGTTTTTTGTGAATTCCTTCAGAGCAATTTGAACTTCCTCTTTCATCACCATAGGCTCTTTCTTGCTCATATGTCATTTCATGAAATTCTTCTGTGTCAGCCAATTCCTTCTGATACAGTGACTCTGTGTATTCCTTCCATATTCTCTATATAACCATGGTAAAAACATTGGGAATGGAAAAGGATAGCTCTAAATAAATTAGGCTGGGTCATCAATAGTGGACGGTTACCCCATTAGGACTTATTCTTTGTTGGTACCAAGTCTCTACTAAGCAGGAAGTAGATGTATTTTAAGTTGTTTCACAAATGATCAAGACAACGTCTTGCTACTTCATGTCACATTTATAAAGACTTATGCAAACTAATATTGCTATGTACTATTGAGTCGGGACCAACTCATAGCAGACTCTGAAGCAGGATATCAGTGAATTATATGGGAGGAGATTGCCCATCTTAGTCCTGCAGAGCAGCTAATAGAATCAAACTACATGCCCTCCTGTTGGCAGTGTAGCTCCTTACCACAGGGCCACCAGAGCTCCCTTGTGCAAATTAGTAATATACCATTTTTATCACAATTTCAGTAGCCTTAATTAAAATATTTCTCTCTCTTTCATAGGCACAGGGTAGTGGTCTCATATCCTCCTCAGAGTGAGGCAGAACTTGAACTTAAAGAAGGAGATATTGTGTTTGTTCATAAAAAACGAGAGGATGGCTGGTTCAAGGGCACATTACAACGTAACGGGAAAACTGGCCTTTTCCCAGGAAGCTTTGTGGAAAACATCTGAGCGGACCGACACCGAAGGCATCACATCACATCACATCACACAACAAAAGAGCACAAAGTCAGTTTCGTGGAAAGAGCACATTTGCGAACTTCCAGATGATCAGGAGATGAGCGAAATGCTCATCATCGAGATGAGAGTGCGTGACTCTGGTGCCTCACAGCACAGCAGTGCCCGAGAAGCATGGAGAAGATGCGCCCAAGCGTCAGCTCTCTGGATTCCGATGTGTAAGGTGTGCCTTGTACTGTCTGACTGACTATACAGAGAATCCTTCTTTGTCGTTGATGTTTTAAAGGTTTCTAGAATGGACAATTGTTTACAAGGCTTAACTAATTTATTTGCATTTTTAAACTTGAATTGTTCTTGTAATAGATAAATTCTTTGGGTTTTGATTTTAAAAAAATTATTAATTTATGAAATGATAGCTAAGGAGAAGCTGGATTCTCTCCTGTTGAGAGCAAGAGATTCTTTTTGCATAGAATGCATTACCCCCAACTCCCAGTGTTATATTTTAAATTCTTTAAGACAGAAATGCCAATGCTCTAATTTGGTTTCCTCTCTAAATAGTAAACATACCCCCAGAAATGAAATCCTCTCGAGAAATGTGTAACATACAACTGAACAGTGTCAGTAAGAGCCTGGGGTGGGGAGACAGAAACTTGAGAGAAGAGTAGTTGTCTTTCTGATTTAGTCCGGAATCATCCTGAAAGAGCTAGTCCTCAATTTGATGTTGTGGGGTTTTAATTTTTTAGAATGAAGTCAGTGGAGTGATAAAGACAGCTGAATAAAGCACAACTCTTGAATAAAAACATTGAGAAATATATTTAGTTTTATAATCTAAGTCCATGGGTTGGAAATTCGAGGAAGATGAAGTTGTGCTCACTTGTCTGAGAATGGCTATGAAATGTTATTTCCATTTTACCTAAGTGGTCTGCATGTCCCCAGACACAGTCGTTTGTGCGATAGTGGTGGTAAGTGATGTTAAAGTCAAAGGCTGTAAGAAACACTGTGAAAAGTTTACACTTATCCATTGTGATTCTTTTCCCACCATCTTGCATGTGTTGCTGGATCTTCACAGTGATGTAGACTGTGCATGGTGTGTATATTTCATTGCAGTTTCCTGTTAAGGTTAGTTTACACTCAGATTGATCAGTCCAGGAGGTGTCAAATAAAACCGTATGATCTTCTCTACCCCAAAGCCACTTCGGACCAAGGTTGCTTCCTCTCTGGTTTGACAGATCCATTTTCCATAATGTAAGTCATTAGAAAATGGGTTTTTTCCTGCCCTCCCAGCTGACAGATGTAGAGGCTGAGTTTATCCAGGACGCTGCTCCTGTGACCATGTGGTTGCCGCTCCGGAAGTTTGGTGTGACCAAATGTGCAGCACCTTACAGTTGTGGCAGGATCCAGCTGAGCCTGTCCTTTTCCATATCTTCTTTGATGTTATTGGTGTCTTCTGCTGCATGCATTGTGGTGCCACGCAGCCATGGGTCTGGGCAGTCCTAAAAACAAAAGGAGGGGAGGAAAAAAGAGCCAGGTAAATGGGATCGTTGCTACAGTTGTTTTTAAGGGGAAAAATGAAACACATAAACCTTTTCATTTTTTTCACTTCTGATATATACAACTGGGAAATAAAAAAACTGAAAAGTCTTCTTGCTCTAGCAAGAGGTTTTATGGTCTTAACAAGACATATATTATGTGGTTGAAAATTAAATCATTCCTAAATAAACCATTTGTTTTTGTTTTCACAGAATGCTGTATATTATGTTCCTCTGTCTTGGATTTTTTTTTAAGAAGTATTTTACTTGGATGTCCATGTAATATATAAACGTTTGGTGAGATGAATTTTAGGTAGGAAAAAGCTGGCATCAGCTTTCATCTGCGTAAGTTGACACCAATGTGTCATGATATTCTTTATTTTGTTAAATTAGTGTATTTTATAAAATTTTAAAAAATAAAAAGACTACTACAGGTTAAGATAATTTTTTTACCTGTCTTTTCTCCGTATTTTAAGCTATGTGATCGAAGTACCTCTGTTAATAGTTTTCTGTTGTAAAGTTGGTTAAAATTTCATCTGTTAATAGATCATTAGGTAATATAATGTATGGGTTTTCTATTGGTTTTTTGGGGAGACCGTAGATGGAGATTTTGTAACAAGGGCTTGTTACACAGTGATATGGTAATGATAAAATTGAAATTTATCATGCCTTTTCATGTTAATAAATTGAGGATTGGGTAAAAGATTCAAGATTAAAATTTGATGTTCAACCTTCATGTGTCTCTTGTGTCAGTTATCACAATTTATTTAAAAACAAAAACTTGGGTGTTTGTATTAATTTCTTTTCCATTACTCTACTCACTTCTGTAAAAGAATTCTTTTCATACACACCAGACAGAAGAACCAAATAGCAAGTTAATGGTTATGATTTGTTTTACATTTACAAGTAACAAACATAATTTGCCTTGTTCCCCCACAATCTTAGTCTTTTTTTAAAAGAGATTTTAGTTTTTCTCACATAAATGCAACCCATTGCCATCAATTGGAAACAGCTTTGTGTGTTTCTAAGGGAGGAGATTTGGTTAGCAGTGCAATTCCCTATGGAGTCTGCTTCCCTCTCCCCTTTCAGAGTTAGAGAAATAGCCTGGTGATGGTGAGAAATTACATTTTAGCTGTGGAAGAAGTACCAGACCTATAATCAGCCACAGAATAACCCCCAGGTTTCCACATGGCTTAGGATCATAATCTTTAGACTCACCATGATTATACTGCTTCCATTAAAAATGCTAACAAGTCTTAACTTCAAAAAGGAACATACAAATCAGGTTTTACTTTAGAAACATTCATTTTTAGTTACTGTTAAATTATGTATCAGACCTTAAAAATTTTGCTCTAATTCTGTTAAAAACTGTCTTCATAACCCTTGGGCAAGTCAGTTAGGACTTAGTTTTCCTGACTGTCCCACTGGGTGAAGGTGAGAACCAAAGGAAATAATGTCATTTTTGTTGTGAAAAGTGCTATGTTAATTATGGCCTCATTTTCACCTCTTCTTTCAAATGCTTCATCACTTTCACTTGAAGTAGATATCTGTGCTGGGTCTAATTGGATATAGAAGGATATAGATGGTGATGTTTCCAACTGCTACACATTTAGTTTTCTATTCCTGTGATAATGGGATAATGTTTTCATACCTTTAGGTGAACATTGCAGCCCAGAACTGTAAATGACATACCTCTGGAAACTCCTCTTCATAAATATGAGATTAAAGTGGAAAGCTCACTTGGTGAATCTATGTGAAATTCTTAAAATTGCATTTGAACCAATTAAACTATGTATCTACTCCTTTCCTACTCCTAACTCTCCCCAAAAAAGAATTTGCTAACATACCAGAATAAATGAGAGAATGTTTACAAAAGAGATTACTTAGAGTCTAGGCTTAGCATGGGGAGTAACCCTGTATTAATTCTTGTGAACTCCCGGCTATAAGGGTGTTTGGAGGACCTTGAGCTGGCCCTGTTAGTAATAACCATGAAAGCAGGAGGGAGCTATTAGAGTGGTAATCAGCCAGTGGGCTCAGTGACAGTGTTAAAATGCCCTCTCTTTTTCTTTCTTCCTTTCTCATTTGTTTCTTGTTAATTACTTTCTAACTTGGCTCTTTAGACTTTCATTTAAAAAACACTGACTGAAAATTCACATTGTTCTGCAATGATCCAGAGGCCCAGTGACATGTTGAAAGGACCTACTATTGACATTAATCTTTGAGCCACTATCCAATACTATTATTACAGGATCAGACCACTTTAATGGTACTGTAAAGTCTCCAAGATAATAGAATTATCCCGCTAGTAATGAGTGAGCCAGCTGCCCTTGCTATTACTTACAACTTAGATAACAAATGTGTTTCCAAAAGGGCTTTGACCTTAGTGCTGACTCTTTCAAGATCTGGCTTTTTATAAAAGTGCTAGGAGAAACTATGAGAGACTAGAGTGAGAAGGCTTTCGTTAATGTTACTCAAAACTGAGAAGCTGGTAAAAGAAAATAATAGGTTCAACTACAGAAAATTAACATCTGCATGGTAAAAATACTAAAAGTTAAAAGAAACTTAACAGAAGAAGTGTTTGCAATTCTTTCACAAAAAGTCAATGGCCTTTATAAATATAAAGAGCCTCTACAAATCAATAAGGAAAAAAATTAAAAACAATCGGCCATGGATTTCTTGTACTTGTTTCTCAATCCCCATTTTCTTCATCTCCGTCTTCAGCTGACATCTGGACAGTTGTGCTGAGTTCTACAGCTTTCCAGTCTCTTTTACAGTTAAGTGCAGACATGTCTAAGTCCTTATTGAGGGACACTCTGAAGTGTTAGAGAAAGCTTTCGGTAAGGCTCCTTAGAAGACAGGAAATACGTTGTTGTTGTTGTTGTTGTTGTTGTTGTTATGTGCCATCGAGTCATTAGTAACCCTATGTACAACAGCCTTAAACCCTGCTCTTTTCTGTGCTAATCACATGGCTTCTGACACACCCATCCCGATTACCCCAGTCACTGAATCAATCCACCTCATAGAGGGTCTTCCCCTCCTGCGCTGTCCCTCCACCCTCCCTAGCATGATGTCCCTCTCCAAGGACCTGTCTGTCCTTACAGCATGTTCAAAGTATGTCAGACGAAGCCCCAGAATCCTTGCCTCCAAGGAGTAGCCTGGTTTAACCCTCTCCGGGATGAATCTGTTTGTTTTCTTGGCAGTTCATGGTACATTTAGCACCTTTCCCTTCCAGCCTGCAATGTGTTAACTGGGCTGGTGTCACAGGGATGAGAAAGAATTAACAAAAGACATAAGTAAGAGGAAAGTAAAAAATTTATTTACTTTCCAAGTGAAAAGACTGGCCAGCCATCAAGAGAGAATATTAGCAATGAAAGCTAGAGTAGTTGGGGTTTTTATTGTAAATATGGGGAAACAAAGGCAAAACATGACAGTTGAAAATAATGGGAACAGTTCTGACAAGTGCTC